CGGGGGCATAACAATACTTTGGGTGCCGAAAGAAATGGTTGAAGAAAAACGAGCTCAACTCACTCCAAGATTTAGCTCAGCGGTCCCCGTCAAAGGGACAAGAAGTTACCATCACTTTAAGCCTGCGTCACCATCTACGCTACGTGCTGGACTTACGTCCTATTCAGCAACGCAAGAATTTGTCATTTCAAAGCCGATTTGAACACAAACGACGCGTGAGCCTTCAACGGCGCGCATTCGGCAACACCATATCACCTCGTCGTTCGAGATTGCCCGTTCACGGGTCTTTTGTGCTGCTGTTTACATCTGTCCTGACGTTAACAAGAGAGAGTGATCGGGTTCTGTATGTAGGAAACAGCTAGCTTACTAATGGATGCTCTGAACCGGCAGCGCTAAGCATCTCCTGACATCAAGACAGTGGAAGATCACAGGAGCACATCGCCGCGTAAAACGGTCGAAATGGGAAAAGCCATAAAGCAACAAGAGTGAAAAACAGCCCCTTTTCACCGAGATGTACCCGACAGCTCAAGGTCCTGCTCCCTACCTGCGTGGGCCCACCGTTACATAGTCGCACGCTTCGCCGGGCTCGACGGTGCCGTGCTGTGCAGAGAAGAGGCACAAGAAACGACACCAGGTTGCAACGTAAAAGCTCGACTTAAAAAAAAAGTTTTTTTTGTAATTAGAGCAAAATTATTTCAATTAAACTTTCAAAAACAAAAGGCAATAAACTCTTCTGTAAAAGTCACCATGTTTCGCATTTTTCTTCCGACCACCTCAAGGCAGAATTGACGGCTCTTTAAACGGCAGCACGAAATTTTGCACAAATTAAGTTGTTTTTTTCTGCAAGATATTTAATTGTACGGCCCGAAACTTTTTTTGTGCAGTATATTCACAGGGTTTCCAATAAGAATTTTAATCACCTGCAGCAACGAGATAGTTTGTAACCAAACTATCAAAAAGGCTAAAATTCTCATATATTACTTTTTTTTTTAAATTGCTTCAAGCGAATATCCATGATCCTTATTACACAACAATCAAAATACCATGTGGTTTTTAGGAAAAAATAGTCCACTGTTCTATAAAAATATCTTAATTTTCATCAATTAATAAACGACTCATAGTTTCACTCCTTTTTTCCGAGTTCAAACCGCCATCACCCTATGAAATTTGTTTCTCGTCAAAAATATTTTAGAGAAGCACCACAAACATTATGATGAAGAACCATTGATTTTATTTTAGGAATCGGAGGTCGCCGTGGGACCTTTGGCATGGCATGAAGAAGTCCACGTCAACTGATGCCGCCCGTCGATTAGGCATCGCGTTTAGGAGTATGAGGAACCGCCCTCGGGTACAATGGGCACAACGGGCCTGCTATGGCGACGCGCTGGCTGCACCCCCGATCAGTACACGATACCTGCCGTTTCTTCCCTTACAGCCAAAAAAGAGGGACGAGGGGAAGCGGGCAGCAACAAGGACTTAACAACATTGTTAAGTCCTTGTCTCATGTGTGGGTTGTTTTGTATCCATCCGGTTTGAAATGTCTGCAACAAAGGAGTTTATCTGTAGAGTGTGGCTGGGAAAAAGTTCCGTGGGTACTTAAAGGCTGTTTGAGAAATAAACCAGTTAGCTGAGTTTGAGACGTTCTCTGTGTCTGTTCCTTCTACTGAAAGTTCTTCCGATTTCTTCCACCGCAGTCTCAGGTGTAATACGACATGATGAGCTTTTACTGACGCCCGAGATCTGTGCCGGGAACGGTGTGTCTGAAATTATCTCGGCATACTCAGGCAGGAAGAAAGCGAACACGTGACAAATATTATGGCCATTAGCAACCGTCAAATGCGCTTTGAATTCGTTCGAGCACTTGTGTGAAGAATGTCGCACCGTGCGCCGGACGGGCATGAACCCCAGTGCGGTGCGCAGCGGGGTTCATGCCCGTCTGACGCACTTCCGGCGAACAGTGCGACATTCATCACACAAGTGCTCGACTTTTGCATTCTTAAAACGGTCTGTATGCTCGAATTTGCCTATATGATTGCAGGATAACTTTACGCGCATACGCGATGTTGAATATTAGTGGAATGCAAGCGGGTAGGGACTTCACTTCGTGCAGTGCTGCGGGTCAGTACAGATAACAGATAAGAAGTGTGTTAAAATTGAGCTTTTCAATGGCACCTCCGAGTTTTACCTCCCATACTCAGGCACATTAAGAAAAACAGTAATTGCAAAAAGTAATATTTCGTCTATGAACACACGAGCAAAACAAACTTCCTCATCAACAATACTAATGTAAAGGCGCGAGCTCGATGTATGCATACTGATTGTTTGCTACAGCTTGTTGATTCATACACAAGCAAGACCCCCGAGCACCCCAGCTTTTCAGCGTCGAGACTCCCAGCACTGGCTCGTCCACATACCTCGATTGGAACGCTAACAGGAAGGCTCAAGTACAAAAATACAACAAGCATGTGTTAAGACAAGCTATACGTCTCGGGCTTGTGCTAAAACTTCGAGGTCTGGCCATTTAGGTTAGTTTAGAGACCACAAATGACGCTTTCGGGACCAGAAAACAATCTCTTGTCGACGTGGCGATCGAAACCGAAACCATGCCACCCTCCTCCCTGGCCAACTAGTTCCCAGAGTGCAACGCGCGCCGTGTTGCATGCAAGACTTTATGGAAGTAGTCTATTAAAATGACTGAAATTATCAAAAATCTTGCGTTAATATGTTTCTGTGTCAAAGTCCTAAGCATTCGTTTATCGGACATCAGCTTCACAAAAAAAGTATTTATCTCAGCGACTTCTATATATTAGTCTGAAACTTTGCCAGATGCATTTTTTCTTGCATAATACTGTAATGACTGTGCCAATGAAGCCAGGTTATAAATAATATACAGTCATATAGAACTGTGAACTGTGAAGTCACGATGAAAGGAAAATTACTTGATATATTAACCTTTATTCACCTTCACTTCTCATAATAAACAACGGCGTACTTTCAGTCCCCTTAAAATTAACAAAAAAATCCTTCGTCGATTAAAACCGTAATATTTCCCGCGTCCTGCTATCACAGTTGAAACAGGTCGCAATGGTGGTTCAAGCTGAACTCGCGCTGAGCTGTATCCTGCCAGCTGTTGTCGATTCACACGACGAAAAAAAGAAAAACCGCTCGTAAAATCCTTTAACCTTTGGATATTAAACTTGTTTTCATAAAAAGTGTACACGTGGAGGCTCAGATAGTTTATAAGGTGCATTGCCTCAGTTAGTCGTTTATTGCCAAAGTATAGAATATAAAAAATGGGGGTACAAACAAACAGGGAAGGGCAAAATACATGCAAATATGTATCGAAATACAAATACAAAATACTTTGTCAAAATTGCATTTAATTACAAATCTAATTACATTTCCAAAAAGCATTTAGGTACAAGATACAAATACAACCAAATGTATTTGGTCTCCTCCAAATACTTTTCCAAATACATTCCTCAAAATTTGCGTCAGCGACTTCAGGCCACCTGCAACGGGTTTCTGGGTATCTCAATTTAATTTTGCATCGCACACTCGGGATTTAGTGTGCGAGGCTCTAGTAACGTAATAGAAATATAGTCACAAAAAAAATTTAATCAGCTTGGACGTAATTGACGCTTTACACAGGCGCCAGAATACAGCCGCCATTGCTGACCTTCTCTTGTTTTACCGAGATACCAAGCCACTAAAATTGGTGTGGACGAGCCTCCACAAAGGCCAATGCTGGGGAGCAAGACACAATAAAATCTAAGATGTCGATAACCTGGCCTGCTATGGTAATAATGAAGTGAAGAAAACGTAATAAGGGGGAACAAAAACTGATGGTCAGTTAAGGCGGCGCCCATGCACAGCTGCTGCAAAGCGTCTCTAGGTGAAAAAAGTACAGAGCTTCAAGCAGCTTGTTTTGTCGATTACGTTTTGGTATAGACCAACAAAGAACCGATACGACCAAGACGCGCAGCACTAGCTAGAGAATTTTTTATTGTTGCAACCCGCACCAGTTACGAAAATTTGGACGACCCGCGCATTTAGAATGTTCCAGGCAAAAATCTGGATGGAAATTAGGCTGGAAAGTATGACAAGTTGTCACAGGCACTTATTTAGCCCGTCTGCCTGTGAACTTCGATTTCGTCACTATTCTCGCCGTGGACTAGCGCCGTAATCACAAAGTCACTAAACGCTTGTGCTTGATTGACAGACACTGCATTCGGTGCAGAACGTAGTTTTCTTCCTGCTCTGGACAGAGACAATAAGTTTGAGGGATGTATTTTCGCCCACAAAATTGTATTTAATTACAATTGTATTTGAAATACCCACGTTTTAGTATTTAAATGCACAAGTCAAATACTTTACCCTATTTGTAATTAAATACAAATGCAAAATACACAAAGTATTTGAAATACGTATTTAAAATACTTGTATTTGAAATACTGCCCATCCCTGCAAACAAATAATAAACAACACGTTACTAGGCGATTATTGTTACCTGACCTATATACCCTTTTGCTATTTACAAATATGAACTGCCTACTGCGTTCCAAGCGACTTCCTGTTGCTCCGTCTTCGCAAGCCTGTCGAGCTTGCTTATGTAACCAGTGCTAGAAAGCATAAATTCTACGCGTACATCAAAGTTGGAGATTCAACGAAGGCCCCCGGCTGGTCGATTTAACGTCTTGGATAGGGCAAGTGGGTTTACAAGAATATTCGATGAGTTTTAAAATATCTCGCGCTTCTTCGGTTTTTTTTTTTTTGCGTTCAACTGGAGAATTGTAAGTTAAACAGTTATAAGACATTTCAAACAGCAGTGTTAGGGTGGCCTTTGTTCATACTTATTATGAACCGGAAGTTTTCTGGGACGTCAGAGGCTGGAACACCGCCTGGTGGCATTTGCCATGAAGGGGCATATTGGTTTGTACTTTCCGTGTTCCCATTCCTTCACCAACACAAATTTAAGTCAATGTAAAATTCGTTTCCAGTCGGAGCTGATCGCCACCAAAGGCTACCCGGTCGAAGAATACGAGGCTATCACCAGTGACGGTTACGTGATTGGCATTCAACGTATTCCAAGAGGCAAGAACGAAAATCCGGACCCACTTTTGACCAACAAGACGACCATATTGCTGCAACATGGCATGCTCGGTGCATCATCGGATTTCGTTTTTAATTTTCCTGACCAGAGCATGGGTAAGTACTTGAGGCTATATGAATGGTGACGATTGCTCCTTATATTTACATTCAGTTCGGAATTTTTCTCATGAGTACACATTGTTCTCTAGATAAAACTTTGTGTCTCCAATGCTCGTTACAAGACATTTGTATCCATTCAAGTTCCAATATCAGTCAGCAAGTTTATTAACTTTCTTAAAAAGGAGCAAGCCGTATTATTTTATGTTGAAACGATGCCTTCCAATGAAGAAAGATAAAGTACAATATACACGTAGGGTGTGTGTTTGAATAAAATTAAAATCTGGCCAAAATATAGAATCGCTGATTCATTCTAAAAACAAGCTGAAGCATGAGTTTTGACGAAAGAGAAAAGGTATTCTGTATATGAAAGAAAATGGGGAACTTTCGGTGCTCCAATGATCCGCATTGTTTAGAAGCCATGGCAGTGGCATGGTGCGTTCCCACGCTACGCCTTAAACTTGCACGGGTCATCTGAGCCAACGCAAGCATCGAAAGTATTAGGTTCTTTCTTTATATATTGAGTCATGAAGCATAAGTTACAAAGGTTACAAGTTTGGTGTAGCCTTAAACCTGGTTTGTTCCTCAGAATCATTTTACTATCGGCGAAACGAAAATAGATTGCACGAAGTTTTACACTTTCTGGTATGTATTTTGGCACGCATTCCTAAAAAAAAAAAGAGAAGTTTTGAAATCAAGGCTTATTCATTCATAACTTATATAAAACATAAAAATTATAAAGTAACATTGTTGTTTCGAGATGTCGTTTTTTTTTCTCTCTCTCTTTTGGAAAGCGTTGAAAATTTTGGCTTGAAGCGTCTGAGCCTCAAGACCGTTTCTGCACGCATTCCGAATATTAGTATTCTTCAAAAGCCAGCAAGACCATCTCTTTTTTTTTTTATGGGGCAGCGTTGGAGTGTAGAGGCGAAACTGTTTGACAAAATCGAAATATAAAAATAACAGAAAAGTTTACCTCGACGTAGATGTTAAAGAATGAATCGTAAACTATTATTCGCGTAGCAATATATTTTTTACGTTATGCTTAAGTGCGTTATAACACAGTGCGTCTAGCTTCAACATAATGAGTCCATTACCGATATGCAGTCACCTGCGCGAGACCACATGGCTCATTGTACCTGTACAGTGTGCCATAATAAAGCACTCACCTCCCGCGGAACACTGAGGGGACACACCTCCCGCGAGTATTCCCTCAGGTGGTCATTTAGGCACCTGCCGGTCTGCCCTATATCCTCCCCCCTCCCACGAAAAAGGGATGGTATAAACCACCTGCAGGAAGGCAGGAAGGCAGTGCAGGAAGGAGGTGCAGGAAGGAATGCCAGTGCAGGTGAGCGAACCCCCCGACGACTCCATGCATCCAATAGTCGTACACCGTATGACGTGCGACGGTTGTTCGCCCAGATACGAAGGCACGCGCGTATTGGGAGGACACCGGCAGAGATTCGGCAGGGAAGTCGCCGAATCGTACGCCATTAAGAGCTCGGTCACTAACGTTGCTTAGGCTTCTCTGGCCCTTTCCGACAGGGAGATGAATTTCCTCCATCCCGAACTCGGTGGAAGGGACCAGAGGCCTTGAGGAAAGGCCGCGAATAACCCGTTTTTCCCCCTCCTCCCCTCCTCTTTTTTCAGCCCCCCCCCCCTTTTTCCTTCTCTGCTCCCTCCCCTGAACCTGCTCGATGGCCGTGGTTTGAACGGAAACGAAATAAATGTCGTTGAGAGTTGAAAGAGTTGTATGCGTCTGTTTTCGTCCCGAATTTGTGTTTATTCTTTCCAATTGTTTAAGTTCCTAAGATTTTTTTTTTTTTAACAGAGAAACGTTTGTGCGTAAATGTGCAAAACAAAATGGCGCATGACGATTAGCGCAATGACGATCCAGTTGTAGTGTTGCTTGATATACTCCAACGGATTGCGGCGCTGGCGCCAGACCGACTTAGATTGAACCGGAGCATTGCATTTTTAATGATTTCTATTTTTTAAGAAAGAGCCTATACTTATAACATAAAAAAATGTAAAAATGAACTACTCCGTCGAAAAACAGGGTATTCCAGTCATGAACATATCTTTAATATTAACTCGTATATAAAATATATAATACAACTCATATTTTTATAGTAATGTATAAAATAGCATGCTGCATCTGCGATATTTTTATCCTGCTACAGCTCTTGTAAAAGGAAATACAACAACAAACGCAAGATTCACACGACGCAAAATAACCAAGTTATTTTGATTTTCTTTAGTTAATAAATTATTAGGCTTCTGTAACGCTAAAATATGTGGAACCTAATCCTAGTTACAAACATCAGGGTGTTTGAATATATATAAGAGACTAGACAACCATCTCGAAAGTGATTGAAGGTTTAAAATGAAACATGTGACATCCATGCCGCACGCACCTTTAAATTTTCTAGATATATCTAGTCGGTCAAGCAGGTTCTCCTGCCAACTTTATTGCTGCCCGACGAAACGAATTAAAAAAGTGCTGCTTCAGCTAATTTTTGAACAATACCGCTATTTTGAATGCGCGAAGTGAGCTTGAAGTTCAGTCACTTTGAACCGTATGTTCCATCGCACCTTGGAAAAGCAATCTATTCTTTTCATCCAAAAACCTGTAATAATTTGTACAGTTAATATTATTAGAGTTTTTCTTTTTTTAATAAGAAAGAATGTGGTAGATTTACTCGCCTATAAATTTATATTCAAAAACTAATATTGTTGTTTTGATGCTACTCTAAATAAAGCGGTTGAAACTATTTTTGTTTGATGTCGCATTACCTGCGTGTAAAAAGTAAATGAAAATACGGATGCGTACATCACGCCTAATATATATTTTTAGGATTCCTCCTCGCAGACGCTGGATATGACGTGTGGCTGGGAAATACTCGGGGCAATATATACGCAAGTAACATAAACCTCGCTCGAGATGACAGACAATTCTGGGACTTCAGGTGAGCCTTTCCTGCCAAGGAACTTTTTTACGCCCCGAGCAAGATCGGATATAGGTAGGAGGTTTAAATGGAAGGTTTTAGTGTGACGTTTTGACGCCAATGGTTAGTACAGGATTGATTCGCCGAAGCCATTGCGTATGCGCGCACAATTATTTTCAGACTGAAATAATAAATGGTTACCGAGTCATTTTGAGTCGACAAATTCGTCTCCGAATGAGCTTGGTAAGGGCTCAACAAAATTAATATGATTAGCGGCACGTGACAAGCGCGAGTGAGGAAAACTCAGAGATTTTCAAAATGCATTATGAAATAGGAGGAGTTTCGGCGAGCAGTGCTAACTCCTCCTGTTGGCGGTCCAAAGTGACAGCAGTGGTTTTGTTTTCATGTGAAAATGTCGTCTAAAGTTTTCTCGCCCTTGTCACCGCCAGTTCATAGCGTCGAAAGAACCGAGTCTTAATAGTATAGAATATAATAGAGTATTATTTACAACACATACATTTTTACAAAAAAAAATGTTTCGAACGAACGAAGCAATGCGTACGCCTTGTTCCTCGCAATTTTGAACTCGCTCTTTAGAATTACATTTCCTTGCGAACGCTTGCAGCGTCTCCAGATAAAATCGTTATACTCTGAAGCAACGCAAATTTCGGGTGTAATCAATTCGGGATGACCTTAAGCCTTCTAATGAAATCTCTCTTTTGGGAAACAGACAAAAGTTGAAACAATAGTTATGCTACTCCATTGTACAGCCTTGGTACTTTCAACGAAGTTGGAAGACCATTTGTGTTGTAGTCGGTAACTATTTTTATCAAACTGCACTTGATCAGCGATAGCTATTTTATTTTTGGAGCGCTGGAATCCTCCCTCCTAGTGCAACTTGTGAGTTGGCAAGCTTTGAAATAATGGTCCGTCCATTTTTTCAAATATCACGGCCCTTTTCATTGTGCTGACAAAACAACGAACATTAATGTGGTCCATAGAAGAAGATACGAATTTGTCACTTAAAAATTGCTCACAAGGAAGGGGGGGACGTAAAACGCTCTTGATTCCATGAGTTTTTCAAAGGTGTAAATAATCGCGCACGTCATGTCGCAATGAATTTATAGCATTAATGTTTATGTCACCCACCAAACATAATATACCGGTCGGGTTACATTCAAATATTGCCCCGAGAACGTTCTTCCAGATCGGCTAATCTGGAGACCTACGCATTCCGCATGCGTCATCGTTACCGCAGTCTGAGCTGTATGGCTCTTTCAACGTTGGTCGCCTCCGTCACAAAACAATTGAAGGGTTGGAAGTGGACATTACAGAAGGCCTCCAAAGATGTTCTCTTTGGCACGGCGCATCAGAATTGGCAAGTTATTAGCTTCGGGGGCGTCAGGATCGGCGCGGCCGCTGAGTCGGAGAACGTTCACAATGCCTGCGGCATTTTTGTTTGGTCATTAAACCCTGGCCTGAAGAAGCTCTTCAGCACGTTCCCGTCGCTGTTGTCTTGCGAAGGTGCGTCCGATCTCTTTATTGTGCAGTTCCCACGAATTGATCAGGGCCTCGTGTTTGTCGTACGATTGCCGAGCCTTCCTTCCAGGGAAAAGTCGACGTCTTCAAGGTTCTCCTCAAGCGTCCATCGATTGTGTAGGGAAACTAGCTCGAAGTGATTGATAAAGTCCTCGATGTCCTCGTAGACGTCGCCGTGGAAGGGAGGAGGCTTCCGGAGTGCGACGGGCATAACGACGACGAATGGGGCGATCGAAGCCGGCGGCGTCATCGTCTCTCTCTTCTTCGGCTTGTCCGGCGGTAGTCTGAATTCGGGGGTTTGGTCTATGGTGAGGCGGTTTCCTCGGGTCTCAGCAGTCTTCACGGACGGACTTTTTGAGCCGGGAACTGGCCTTGCGCAGCGAGGTCTCGAAGGGGTACACGTCATGGGCTGCATAACGCCGCACCTCTACAAAAATGTCACGGGTGACAAGTTGACGACAAAAAGAATAGCTGAGGAAACTGAAATGTTTAATGGGGTGAATTTGTGTCAAACAAACAAGGAAACAGAACATCACAACAGAGCGTGACGTGCGTCTAAGTGAGCGTAGCAGCAGGATCGAGCACAAGAACGATACTCCTCCATAGCCGCAACGCGAAGCAACTTTTGTATTTAGGTTTCTGGAGCATTCGGCGTAGAACATTCGGCGCGTAGAACAGTCGTAACTCG